GAAGGTCTATTATTGCTATAAAAAAAGGTATTCATTAAAAAAAAAATCACTTACAATGTGTCTTGTCAGGAGGAGAAACACAAGGAAGCAAACACCCACAATATAGTTTGCCATGTCCACTACAACCCACATAAACACAAAGAGACATTACTGCAGTGATGCTTTTTAAAACTGTAGAAGATTTTCTTAGAGATTGATTAGAAAAAATAAACTCACCTCCTTTGTGTTGTGAAAGACAGAGCTCATGACAGGAACCAAACCCATTTGTTTTGTAAAATGGGTGATCCCAAGAAGGCTTTTTAGCTGCTGAAGAGAAACTATAATAGCTGCTCCAGCCATGAATCCAATAAGTGTAGCCTTTGACAGAAAATCAATTATAAAGCCAAGCCTGCAGACACCAATCTATATATCATATGTACCAAAAAATATATTATAAGAGCAGTCCAGTGCACAAAGTTTCCGTTATTGCTAGTTTTGAGAGTTCAGATGTATACAGTTTTAGTAAGAAATTGTTTTTTTGCAACTCGGATTGGCGTCCCCAATCATAATGTAATTACTTTACTGTTACACCAAGACACCCTCAAAAACTTGATTAAAACAAAACAAAGTATGGATTTTAAGATAGAAAAGGGAAAAAAGGATGTAGATCATGACCTTAAGATGCCTAAAGAGGCTTGGAAGAGACCAGCAAAGAAGGTTGAAGAGAAGGTCAGTTGAAGGAACAAGAGAGGGTCTTTGGCAGGAGAAACTTCTTGCCTCAGCACTGACCCAGTATCAGATATGCTATAGAAACAGGAACTACTGCAAGATCTCTTGAGCTTCCAAGAACAGCATATACAAGAGGAGGAACAAAACTTGAATCTGCAAAAAGTAAAATTAATATGTAATCACTAAAACCAACTAACAAAACAGTCACATATACACAATCTTATCCCACAAGCAGAGAGACTGTTTCTGTGATCTGAAACTATGCGAACAACTCTCAAACAAAGATATATATATATATAATACTCACAAAGGCCAACAATGGGTGGCAGATTGGCCAACTTGGCATAACTGATTGCCTGAGGAATGGCTAAGGTAGCAATGGTGAGGCCAGAAACAAGGTCAGATTTGAACAATTTGAAGCTGTAATTAGGACCCCACTCTAGTATAGGAAAGATGTACTGAGCTCCAAGCATCCACTTCTGTTTTAATGGCCGTCCTTTGAACTGCCTTAGAGGATCATCAGGGAAGAAGGTTTCTTTGAGCCTGTTCTTCAGCTTCTGAATTGTGCTCCTATGGGGTGGTGGAACAACCTTGTGAACCTCCAAGGATATCTCAGCACCGTGAGAGTTGAAGTTACTCACATTTCGTTCCATTGGTGCTGACGATTGTTGGAGGCAGGGGTGGAGTCAAGAATTTTGTTTAGAAAGGGCACTTTAATTATGTATTCTAATGTTTTTCCTTCTAACCAATCACATTATATAACATAGTTATATTTATTATATTATATTTGATATATGAAAGCCATTTAACATAAAAAATTCTAAAAAAATAAAATGTATAGTGCCAGGGGCGAAGCCATAAATATCTATGATAGAGAGAAAATATAACTGGTATAAAAAAATATTTAGCCGAAATTAATACAAAAAAATTCAGTTCAAGAATTAAATAAAAGTAAGAATCAACACTAAATTATTGTGAAATAGTAAATTTAATTTTTATTTAGCCGAAACACAGTTTTAACAAAAAGACACAAAATAATTTTTTAGTACATTTTAACCTAATTATATATTTCAATAAAATATAAATTTTTTAAAATCTCTAAAATTTTGTATATGAAATTTAACATTTTAACCACAACAGTGGCACGTGTTTTGAGCTTCTCTCTATTTCTTCTCTTTTTCTTGTGGCTGGGCAGTGGGCAGTGGGGTCCAGTTGGCCAAAAATTTTATTTTTTAATGATGGTGGGCCAAAAGTTTTGTTTTTAATGGTGGGCCAAAAATTTTGTTTTTAATGTTATCAACAGGTTTGGGTGAATTGTGATAGGTCAAATATTTGATTTTTTAATAAGTTTGGGTAGACAATAGTGAATTCAATTTTTTTTTTTAAATGAACTTAACTTTTTAATTATTTGGATAAATAATATGGGCCAAATATAAATGAGGGGACACACATAATATATATGTATAAATATATAATACATATATCTAACTAATAAAAAAAAATTGAGAGGGGGCACTTGTCCACCCTGGCCCTGCCTCCCTCCGCCTATGGTGTGTATTTTGGTGTAATAGTATGTGTGTTTATTTTGGTGTAATTGTGTGTGTGTGTGTGATTTATGGGTTAATGGGTTTAACCCAATTCATTATAAACTCAACCCATTATAACCCATTTATTACGTTGGTGAAAAATAGATTGGATTTATTTTAACCCAACTCAATCCATCCATTTGTCACCTCTAGCCTATAATATGGTATCATGGAATTTTGACAAACAATGTTGGGCTTAAAGGACGTGATGTTAGGGATGAGAAAGCCTAGGGAATGGCTTTAGTATTTATACTTTATAATGATGTTGGTGCATTTCGTTATCCGGATGTTGAGTCAATGAACGGTAATCATATACTTTCTCAAGACTTAGGAATGGATATATTGTTACAAGCTTGATGAAATGACGAACTTCGTCATATAATGTGATTATAGCATGAATTCATCGGATGTATGTTGTGGTCTAAGTTGTTTTCACATAAATGCAATGCTTCTCTGTGAGTAAATTCTTTGGTTGATAAACTCACCAAATTGTTGGGTTCATAGGCTCTGGGCAACATTTTACAAAGAATTGTCTGTTTAGCTTGTCATGCATCCAACCTCTTTTTTGGGTGGGGAAGGGAAGAAAAAGAAGGGGTGGGGGGATTGCTTATTTTGTCATAATCTTTTTCAAGATACTTTCTATAACCTAAGTTTAGTTGTTTCCAAGGAAAATAATGAAATGTTATTCGTTTGATTATTGTGTGTTTTCACTTCTTTTTTTTTGTTTGACCAGTCTGTTGGATTTTTCAAGTATGTGATTTCTTAACTTCGAACTGCTGCTGACTTAAGGCATCCAATTGACTGTAGATATCAACCATATGGAAACACTCTTATAAAGGTGGTGAGTGGAGGCCATATATAGGCAAGTCTTCAGGAGGTATGAAATTTGACCATAACTGAAGCTGCTCGTGATGTTTATTGTGCTTTAATTTCTAGTCATGTGTGGGATAAGTTTCTTCTAATAAATTATTGTCAATTGCATTTGAAAATGAATTTCGACCACGATGAGAGTGCTAAACTATGAAGTTGTGTGGGTGACTGCTCGTTGATGGCAATATGCTGCAGTGGTGTTATGTGTGGCAATAGTGAGGCGGGTTGATAATGAGGGAGGCTTCCAGTGGTGTATGAGGTTTTCTGCTGAGGTTCAAACTTATTAATGGAGGTCGTGGCTGTGGAGTGTTGGTGGATATTTAGAGGTGACAATGTAATGGTTTGGGTGCTTGTGATTTCGAAGATGATGAGGAGGACGGGCAGTGAAGTTTTGACGATGGTGGTGGCAATGGCAAGCAGCGGTGAGGAATGACAGTGACTGGAACGATCACATGGCAGCAGAAGAAGTAAACTTGCATTGATTTTTTGGCTCTTAGGCCGAAGTGATGGAGGACCTAGCCTAGACAATCGGATCGAGAAAGAGCAGGGGAAGGAACATAGAGGAAGACATGCCAGGGAGAGAAACAGAGAAAGAGGAGAAGTGGGGAAAGCGAGGGGAAGAATTTCCAAATTCAGTTCATTGCAATATGTCAAGAAGGGAACTTTTCTCATATAAACGTACATTGATAGGCTGTCCAAAAACCTACTTGACAATTACATGAATTTAACATAATAGTAGTTGAATTTCTAAACTTACAAATAAAGTAAATGCTAATTTTTTTGAAAGTATGTAGTTAACTCATACTAGTAGCCTGAAATCTACCCTTCAACTTTAAGTTTCATCCAATCCCCTAGTGTTTCCCATCATCCATAGTCATTCATTCTTATTATGCTAGAGCTCTCAAGTGTAGTTTTGCGACTGTTGAATAATATTTTTTGCACTCTTCTGGAAGCCCAATTCAGCCAGATGTGTCCCATTCTTTTGCTTTTACCCATCTTTATGCAAGCTAAGGCATGCTATGGTCTCCAAGTTCTCATATTTCTTGTGTCATTGTATGTGCATGTATACATATTCATATTTTATATTTGCAGGTACTCGGTCATGAATTTTCTGTGTGAAGTTTAATCAAGAATATGCTTATTATGATAGGCCTACCAGAGTCAAATGGAGGCTTGAATCAGCAGAGGACATCGGTAGTTATTATGATTTCGACACTATTTATTTGTTACTTATAAATGTGCTTCAATTTTGATATTAACAGCTCTATTAACTAGCGTTGTAATTGGTTACTGCCCATGCTTGTAGATATGCAATGCGGTTGCTGTTGCTGGCTATCTAAATGCAACAATTGTAATTCCCCATGTTCATTTTCACAGCATTTGGAGAGATCCTAGGTTTGTCATCTCTCTTGCTTGTACTTTTATATATAGCGTTGCAGTTGTTCAAAGAAGTAGATACTAATGAACTGGACGGTGTTTGAGAAATGTGCTTTTGATAATTGTGCATTAGTACTGCCTTTGCAACATTTGAAAGGTTAGAATATACATATTGATACTTCAAGCAACCAACGAACTGGGGTGGTAGGAGCCGAAATGGGGTGGGTTCTCAACCCAAATTGCCATAATTCCCGATCCTAATTGTAACTCAAATTCCCAAAATGATCCACTAGCTTGGTGATCCCAAACTATGAGCCTTATTGGTTATTTATTTACCAGGAAATATGAATATGAACATGGGTGTCGTATTCGATACGATGTAGATACAGGGATACAACGAAGGTCGAAAATATGGAGCATTAGTACAACAAAGTTCGAAAATATAGGAAACAGGTACGGTAAAGATAGGGCTAATTAAAATAATATGTATTTTTTGGATAAAAGTTGTAATAATATTATTAATAAAACCTAGTAAATGTTAATTTTTTGATTAAAATTGAAATAAATAAAAATAGACATCCACCATTTTTATCAAACATCATTACATTCATTAGTATTCATTCATAATCCATAAGTTACATAACAGAAAACACAAAAATAAAATAAAGGAATTATGCACCCCTCTACATAGTTACTAGTCGTGAGAAATGAAAAAAAATCCTGATCGTATTCTGATTGTGTCCAAGCCGTGGCTTGGCTGTGGTCGACTGAATTTTCTATTCAGGATACTTCTAATCGTATCAGACACGCGGCATCCCTCCAACAAGTATCCGTGCTTCCTAGTTTATTTATTTTGGTGTTCTTTAAACACACATTTTGATTTATCGTGGTTTGCTTTTCTTTTTAATACAAAAAGGCTACCACTATTTTTTATTATTTACAAAAATTAGTTGGTACGTTGCCTTGCATTTTGGTTTTCTTTAAAACTATTACTAGTAATTTAAAATAAATATTTGTTAACTACAAGTATATTGATCTATAATTATATATGATTTGCATATAATTATGAAAGTGATTCAGACATGAGGTACAAATCGAACCACGACCTAAATATTGTACCTCGTCCAATACTCATACCACGTAACAAATAGACCCATGATCTATGTAAACATTAGGTTAGATAGTCTTTCTTTGATTCAGTGTAAATGTTTGACAATCTGATTAACCTGTTTGCAGCAAATTTGAAGATATTTATGATGCAGATTATTTTGTTAGAACCTTGGAAAATTATGTGCGGGTGGTTGACAAGATCCCTGGGTACATAATGGAACGTTTTGACCATAATGTGAGTAATGTATACAACTTTCGAGTGAAGGCGTGGTCATCCATCCAATCCAATATTACAGGGATACCGTTCTCCCGAAGCTACCTGAAGAAAAGTTAGTTGCTATACATTTTGCATTCTCTCTTCCCCCTTTTCCAGGCTTCTCTTTATTCTCAACATGATTACTGCGTTAGTACATAATCATGTTAAACTAAGTTGGATGCATGCCTATATGTAGCTTATTGTTGTGTGGTGTCATTTTTGTTGATGATGATCCCAAATTATATTCATATATTCAGAAAATGGGTTTACTGCTCTGAGTTGGAAGCTATCATATGATAAGTCCTGGATTTTCTGAAGTATAATAATCTCCTAAATGCTGACTTCATATACAATACTGGTGTCATTTATCTTAAAACAAAATGGAATTTAAGATGCATTTATGGGGAATCTAATATATAGTATATAAAATGAGGAAAATGCTATTTGGATTTGATCGAGGGATCTAATTCAATGCAACTATTGGATTGGTACGTAGTTAAAAATATTGGGTGATCTTGAACTGCATTTTGGGTAGCCTTTTAGCCCTTGTTTGCCTAATTAGTATTGGAAGTTTGCATGATATGGTTGCATAGGCTCCTCATCTATCAATCTCATTTGTCTAATTTTAGAGGATCTTATTGTTTTGGGCAGCATAATAAGTTTACTAGATGTTGGGATATGCTTTAGGCAGAGTAAAAAATAAAACTAAACTTGGTTTGTTCCTTTAAATTTCTTGTAACACCCCAATTTTCCGAACCCGTTACTTGATTAAATCAATCGATCGATAATAAACCACAAATAAATCTCCGAATATAGGGTCAGAGCTCTAATTGCCTCAATAAATTTATAATCACAATTTTGATTTCCAAATAATAAAAATTATCTCATCATTATACAAAGTTAAAAATTATATCAAGATTTGTCAATCTTCGATTCCTCAAATACCAACTCTGGTCCTTTTCTCCGAGATAATTTTGAAAAATATTAAAGGTGGGAAAGTATACAATATAACAGGAAACAATATACTCAAGGAGAAAAGAATATGAATGATCAAATACCAAATAATTCAATCGATAGACAATCATAGATAAAAGAATCAAGAATCCAATTCGATAAATCACATAACTCAATATCTATCAAATATAATCTCATACTCTGATCGTCTTGGTGACATGACAAGTAACACTTGAGTATTTAAAATCCGTACTCATATCGAACCATTACACCCCTCAGGGCTGTAATCACAATCGCACCCTGCAGGGGCCATAATTCCATTTCACAACTTATACCCCCAAGTACACTTCATACATGTATCAATCAATCTCAAAGTATTTAGCCCAACGTACACGTACAGGTCAACCGATAATATTGACAGAATTTTTTATCAATCAGAATAATCAATAAGAATACAAATTTTAGATAATGAAAGAATACTCTTTGCAAAGAGATTTAAAAGATAGGAGCATATTATATACTATCTTGTACCTCCATTCCTACAATAACTTTAATAAATGCGAAATTCGAAATACCGCGAATGACATAGTCAAATTTGATAGTGATTTAAAAGAAAATTATTGTCCAATTTTTGACCCCAAGATCTCATAAATTTTTCTTCTGTTCCATTTATCTCTCTCCTTCTTCCCCTCTCTCTCTCGCATTCCTTTTTCTCTTTCTGCCGTGCCTGTTGCTTGGCTTGGACTTGACTATTTTATAGCCAAGATTTACTTGGTTATTTGACTTGTTTTCACGCGAAGAGTGCATATTTGAGGTCCATTTGTTCATAAAAATTTATTATTTATTTATATATATATTTAAAAAAAATAAACCTCAATTATATAGACCATAATTGACGACCTAATTAGTATATTAATGATTAATTTATATACGGGTTGTTACATTTCTCATTTGTTTAAATAATGTAAACTGTAATTATATTTCTGCCGTGGATTTATTCATGGTTGATAGGGGTTGTAGTGTTATGTCTCTATGGGTGAGGCGACTGATAACTTGTTTTCATTGCTTTTTAAATTCTATTGACCATTCAACTTTCCTTTGTTAAGATGTTTCAAAATGTTTGATCCAGGGGCATAAGGTTTTCTCCTTTTGCAAACCGATTGTCATTTGATGCTCCACTCCACCAGTGGTTCAACGGCTAAGATGCATGGCAAATTATAAGGCTTTACGTTTTTCAAGCCCCCTTTTAACATTGGGTGAAACTTTGGTAGCAAGAATGAAATAACGAAGTGCTAATAATAGTCGCAAGTACATTTCTGTGCACCTTCGCTTTGAGGAGGTTAGTGTCCAAGAAATTGGAAGAGCTGAATTTAATTGTACTTCATTTTCTTAACATCTATTATATTCACAAGAATTGTTAGGAGAGGTTGATCATCTTCTCATGCAGGATATGGTTGCTTTTTCTTGTTGTATATATGATGGTGGCAAGAAAGAAAAACGTGACATGGATGCTGCAAGGGAGAGAGAGGTTGGAAGGGGAAATTTACGAAACCTGGTAGAGTTATTCGTCCTGGAGCTATCAGAATCAATGGAAAAATGTCCTTTAACCCCTTTAGAGGTGTATTTATTGCCATGGTACCTTTCATTTGATTCTTTTTACTTTTATCAATCCTGGTATTACACGGTCATGTATTCACTTATGATTTATTGTTTTATCACCTTCTTTGTGATTCGGCTATATCACCGTTTCACTGTCAGTTTGTTGATATGCATACCTGCTCTTTGTGTACGATTAGTTAGATGATGCACAAACACTTTTCTCTCTTTGATTACATTTGCCTCGAGACTTTTGGTTATGCTAAATCATGTGCCTTTATGCTGATTATAAACATATGCTGTATGTGTTATCATAAATTTTAACTCACTGTGTCACTCATTAATGATGATAAATCTAAATGTTTTGGGACATAAAAAATTGGGAAAACTGCAGTGACACCCCTCATGGTTTTTGAATTATGATGCTCTCCCATCAAGATTCCTGATGGAACTAATGGAGTCATTGAATTTCCAATTTGATGCTCATTCATTCCATCGAATTTTCAATGTTGAACGTCAATTCTTTGTGTGCAAGGCTTGTAGCAAACACACAATCAGATTATCTGCTCCGTGCTCTGATCAGTGAGGCTCATCTCAGCCCCTTCCCCGCCCTCCACATCACCAACCTTGAACCCTAACTATGATCAATTCCAACCTCTCTTTTGGAACCCCAAATCACGATCATTCTCAACCTTTCTGAGCTCATCTCAGCTCCCCTCCCAGAAATCACATGTTTATTACATCGATAACAATCGATTAAGTGACAGATTGTTGAGTAACTTTCAGATCCGGGGTCCTATAGTAAAATTAATTGAATGTGTTAGTGTGTTAATGCAAATTCAAGTGGCGCTTCTTGGATAAAACAACAATTTTTTTTTTTTTGATTTACTGCAAGTGTAGGTAGATGTTTGTAAGATTTTTTTTGGCCCCCCCAAAAAAAAAGTTGAAATAAATGAAGAAAAATACTACAATGGTGACTGGATAAATTGCTTTGAAAATATCCAAATGTTGGTACAAAAGGATAACTATGGATGGTTTTAAATTGCAATACGAAAGGAAAAGCAAAAATTGGAGAGGTTGTGAAGAAGTGGAAACCAAATACTTTATGTTGGTGTAAATTTTCTGTGGCTATTCTTTGGCTACGCCAATTGCTATGATTGAAACATGAACTGATATAATATATTCCCAAACAGCCTTTGTAAGATATGATGAGACTAGCTTCACATTTCTATTACTTGTTTCTGCAAGTAGTGTTGAATGAAAATTGGTTTGAACTCTTTGTTTGTCCTAGTTTTTGTTGCCAATTTCCCCCCGTCCTAAATTACTAGTTAAATCTATGCTGTCTTGTTTGTCATCAGGTTGGCTTGATGCTTAGAGGAATGGGGTTTGATAAAAGCACATCCATTTATTTAGCATCTGGACAGATATACGACTCTGAGAGATATATGGCTCCACTATTTGAAATGTTTCCCCAGCTACAAACAAAAGAGATGCTGGCATCTGCTGAGGAACTAGCTCCATTTCAGGTTTTTGAATGCGTTATGGCTTTCTTTGAATTTTGCCACATTTCAGAGGGTGATTCCATATCGTGTTTGACTCAGTTTACTGTCTCTAGAATTATTCTTCCAGGATGGCTGCCATAGACTACATTATTTGTCTTCATAGCGAAGTATTTGTGACAACTCAAGGTGGAAACTTCCCTCTTTTTTTATTGGGCCACAGAAGATATTTGTATGGTGGACACTCGAAGACAATCAAGCCTGACAAACGGAAGTTAGCATTAATATTTGACAATCCCAATATTGGGTATGCATTCATCTCGTAGCTATGGTTTCGCTTATATTTGGTTGATCTGTAGTCTAGTTTTGACTGACTGGAGTATTCTGAAAATAGATTGGGATTTGCTACAATTAAAGCATATGTAAAAGATGGCTTTTTGAAATGGTTTCATACCTTTTATGTTTCTGACCTAAAAAAGAGAAAAGAAATGGTTTCATACCTGGCATGGACTAAACTGGCTCAAAGAACTTGTATACACTATAGACAAGCATTCAAATGCCGGTTATTTTATGGGATTTACGAGATTACAACGGACCAAAATATTTAAAAATAGATCGGCAACTGCATTTTTTGTACATGATACCAGAAGAGAACACGAAGAAGATTTGCCCACTTCTGGAGTTTCCCGGGCATTATTTTCACATCATTGCATCTTGTCGCAGCTGCTGTATCTAAGAAGCAGTGAAATGGCATATTGCTTACTTCTACACCCTGTTGATTCTGTGTTTGTATTTTACATTCTTTCATTCAAACCGCACACGTAAGACTTTACAACCAGGATGAGCTGTATACATCTACCATAATCAGGTACTCAAATTTTTCCTTTTGGAAGTCAGCAAACTTTGTTTTTGTAGCTTGTTACCCCAAGTGTCCTTTTCTTCAGCATTTCTTTGTAGGGTATTGTGCAAATGTTTTTTTGTTTGTTGATGTTATTTCCTTGCATCAAACTGCAAGGCTATTCTTCTATTATGCGTCGCCAAATTGCTTGAAATACGAAATCTGACTCGGGAAAAAGGAGGAAGAAGCAGTCAATTCATGCATACTCCCAAAGGCATATTGGCACATACTCGAAGGTATATTGGTGCATACTTAAAGGTATATTGGCTTGCCTTGTAGAAGAACGGATAGTAAAACATCGCGAATTAGAGATTCTGTAATATACTCTTTCCCCAAACTTTTCATACTAACCAACCCACTAAAATGAAAGTAGGGATCATTCTCTGGACGGAATTGCATCTTCATTATTAGTCTGCAGTTCTATGCCATTTCCACATTTTGACTTGGTTTTTGGTCTTCACATATTGTTTATTTTACATTGGACTGCACTTTAATTGCTCAAACTAAGAAGGGGAATTCTATGGTATCAAAACAAATTTTTTGGTATTGATACCGACTTACTATTTTGAAAGGTTAAGTTATAATTGGTTAAGGGAAATCATGATTGATCATAAAAAATACGGTATAAATTTCAATATTTTATGATTGATCACGTTCTTTGAAGTTGTGCGTGCAAATTTTGCACAATATATATGAGAACATATNAATTTCAATATTTTATGATTGATCACGTTCTTTGAAGTTGTGCGTGCAAATTTTGCACAATATATATGAGAACATATCTCTCCCGTGGCGAATACGATTCCGTCGAGGCAACAGTCGATCGCACCACGTGGAATAGGTTGAGAGGGCCAAAGGGGCTTAAGAAGTGATGATGAATTGTTTGTTGGGTCGCTTGACTAGTCTTAGAAGGTTACTGGGGGTTCCTGGAATACAGAAAAACGGGTTAGAAGAGCGCCAGAGTGTTTTTTAGTGTATCCCCTCCAATGATCATGTCAGTTGCTGTGAGAGTGGGGAAGAAAAAAATATTGTATGACTCTTGAGAGATGATCTTGCGTACCTTTGCAATGTGTTTTTTAGGACTATTTATACCTTCAAAGGTTCATCATTGTTAACAGTCTAGTTAGTAGCTATTTATGAGAGATGGGGCAATGTGCCCCTCACTTTTGTGGGGAATGTACTTCGTTTTAACTGCTCGGGCCGCCAAGCATGTAATGCCCTCCCCTTGGTCCGGTGAACATTCAATCTCTTCCTCTTGGTGGAGATGTATTAAATGCCTAGGTATGAGAGTCTTTAATGCCTTTCACTTTTTTGGCTCTCATGCCTTAATCACTATCTCATCAGGAAGATGATTCATTAAATGCTTACTTGCTCTAGTCATAAGCAAGGGTATTCAGGTTTTTTTGCTTCTGATTTGACATCGCATGCCACGCGTCTACTCCTCTTTAGTTGAATGTTTTGCATTCCTATGCCTCTTGACACCATTGAGCAGAGTGCCTTTATGATGGCTAGCCTAGCCTAGCCTAGGCTAGTCAGCTGTCAATCCTTTAGCTTTTATAGAAGTAGAGGAGTGAAGTCCGTCTTTTAGCAGACACACCTCGGTGCCGAGGGATATTGCATACCTCGGGACGGAGGGTGTTTTGCTGAGCCAATGGAATTTTGTCAATCACGCCGCCTGGAATTCTCTCGGCCCCAAGTATTATCCTCTCGACGGAAGGGGATGAATGATGCCGAGGACACGTGGCTATATCACAGCAAGGGAGTATAATGACGCCGATGACACATATTGCCGATCTGATTCCTCCCAAAAATGTTCCATCAGAAATTGTAATTTACACCTCTAAAAAGTTGTAAATTAGTCTTAAAAAATTTTAACTTTTGATATTAGTATTACTGACGGTACTATAGAAGTNTGTAATTTACACCTCTAAAAAGTTGTAAATTAGTCTTAAAAAATTTTAACTTTTGATATTAGTATTACTGACGGTACTATAGAAGTTCCCAACTAAGAAAGGTTGCTGTACTAAGTNATCACGTTCTTTGAAGTTGTGCGTGCAAATTTTGCACAATATATATGAGAACATATTTCTCTCGTGGCGAATACGATTCCGTCGAGGCGACAGTCGATCGCACCACCTGGAATAGGTTGAGAGGGCCAAAGGGGCTTAAGAAGTGATGATGAATTGTTTGTTGGGTCGCTTGACCAGTCTTAGAAGGTTACTGGGGGTTCCTGGAATACAGAAAAACGGGTTAGAAGAGCGCCGGAGTGTTTTTTGGTGTATCCCCTCCAACGATCATGTCAGTTGCTGTGAGAGTGGGGAAGAAGAAAATATTGTATGACTCTTGAGAGATGATCTTGCGTACCTTTGCAATGTGTTTTTTAGGACTATTTATACCTTCAAAGGTTCATCATTGTTAACAGTCTAGTTAGTAGCTATTTATGAGAGATGGGGCAATGTGCCCCTCACTTTTGTGGGGAATGTACTTCGTTTTAACTGCTCGGGCCGCCAAGCATGTAATGCCCTCCCCTCGGTCCGGTGAACATTCAATCTCTTCCTCTTGGTGGGGATGCATTAAATGTCCAGGTATGAGAGTCTTTAATGACTTTCACTTTTTTGGCTCTCATGCCTTAATCACTATCTCATCAGGAAGATGATTCATTAAATGCTTACTTGCTCTAGTCATAAGCAGGGGTATTCAGATTTTTTTGCTTCTGATTTGACATCGCATGCCACGCGTCTACTCCTCTTTAGTTGAATGTTTTGCATTCCTATGCCTCTTAACACCATTGAGCAGGGTGCTTTTATGATGGCTAGCCTAGCCTAGGCTAGGCTAGTCAGCTGTCAATCCTTTAGCTTTTATAGAAGTAGAGGAGTGAAGTCCGTCTTTTAGCAGACACACCTCGGTGCCGAGGGATATTACATACCTCGGGACGGAGGGTATTTTGCTGAGCCAATGGAATTCTGTCAGTCACGCCGCCTGGAATTCCCTCGGCCCCAAGTATTATCCCCTCGACAGAAGGGGATGAATGATGCCGAGGACACGTGGCTATATCACAGCAAGGGAGTATAATGACGCCGATGACACATATTGCCGATCTGATTCCTCCCAAAAATGTTCCATCAGAAATTGTAATTTACACCTCTAAAAAGTTGTAAATTAGTCTTAAAAAATTTTAACTTTTGATATTGGTATTACTGACGGTACTATAGAAGTTCCCAACTAAGAAAGGTTGCTGTACTAAGTTAGAGGTACTAGAGGTTATACACTACTAAAGATGCTATGTAATTAATCTCCCAAAGTTTTCAACTGGTGCCTTGCCCTGCTTGAAGAAAAATGGACGGGATTACTAATCTGTTGAAAACTTTGAATCCTATGTAAGTAGACGTTATGCTTTGAATCCTATTACTTGCCACCGAACTAGAGAAAATAATCTGTTGAACTTGTCGATTGGTTAATATTTGAGGACCTTTTTTTTTTCTAGGCGCCTTAAAAAAAATATAAATTTATATTTGATACCTTTAAAGATTAATTTTTTTTTATTATACTCTCAATGTATAAAAATTATTTTAATATGACCCTTCAGTTAATTTTTGTTACTCATTCTGTCAACATCAATGGGTGGGTTTTAACAGAATAAGCATCAGAAGTTAATAGAATAATTACATTGTAACATTTTGTATACATTGAAGGTGCAATAAAGAGAAATTTAATTTTTTAAGGGTATAAAGTGAAAAATTTTAAATCTGTTGAGGTCCAAAATGAGATCCCCTTTTTTGGGTCAAAATGTGCGGTTCCTGTGCATGTTTTATGGAATAGGGAGTGCATTATTCAACCTCATAGATTGCGCATCAGCTAATTTTTTTTTAATTGTTTTTTTATTTGTTTGAAACCTTTATTCATCCATGTTTGGTGTTCAGATTGCCCATGGTGATGACTGGTTGCACAAATGGTACTTTTATCCAATCAGTACTCTATTTAATTTGCTCAGGTTTTTTATTTTTACTTTTTCCCCCGGTTTATGAGTCGTTTATTGATTTGTTGGGTGGTGGTGGGCAGTGATAGTCGGTGGTGATAGGTGGTAGGGGTAGTGGTGGTGGCGTTGGAGTGGCGATGGACGGTGGTAGTGTCGGATGGTGGTGGGGTGGCAATGGACGGTGGTGGCAGTGGGATGATGATGATAGTGATAAAAAATATAAAAATAAAAAGTCATAAGTCCTAAAAATATTTTCAAAAATTCATCTCAATCGCTTCCTTAATTAAGTAATGTCTTTAATTAAAGAATATTTTTGCTAAGTTCTAATTTTATAGAATTTTAGCATTAATAGTGTTTAGAATGAACCTAAAGCCCAAAAAATTCAGGCTTTCTGAACTGTTTTTGCAAAAAAAAAAAAAAAATCGTATTTCTGTTTGTTCCTATTATCATATAATTTAAAGTCTATTTGTTTTAACGAGAAAATGGTAGAAAATACAAGAAAATAAAATTTTTTAATTTTTTTATGTGTTTAGTTAGCATGAAACGAGAAATGATGGAATTTTTTTTTTTACATAGATTTTATCACAACTAACCATTTTTTTTTTTTTTACAAAAAATATGAGAAAAAGTAAGAAAGTTGTTATCAATAGCCTAATATCACATTTCACCCTTATTTTTTTAAAAGTATTTAATTAATTATTAATTAAAAAAAAATTTGATATAAATTTGATTACCATATAATTTAGTCTAAAGTTCTGGATTCCCGTTGATCAGTAATTCAGTATAAAAAAATAAAGAAAAGAAAAAAAGGCTGACGAAGTCCCCTGGTATATAACCAGCAGAAGCTGGAAACCTTCGAGCCAGACCTTGGTAGAAAAATCAACCGACTAAAACAAAAATGGCAGCAGTCGGAGCTTACCTCAATCACGTTTCCCGTGAATCTTCAGACATTAAACGCCTCGCCAAATTTTACCAGGAGGTAGAAAATCACTCCCAAGTCTTTTGATTTCTCTCTGTTTTTGTTGTAGAATTAGATTAGTTTTGTTGATGGGAGTTGAATTGATATTTGATTTAGTGAGTTGTGTAGACATTGGGTTTGGGCAAATTGATAGTCCTAAGTTTGAGTTTGAGGTGATATGGTTGAAATTGGGTCCATCTTTCTATCTCTATCTGATTGAGAGAGAGAGAGAGAGAGAGACCCAGGAACCAAAATTCACTTCCAAGCCGTTTCATTTCTCTCTGTTTGTTATAGAATTTTATAATTGTCACTGATTGGCGTGGAATTGATATTTGCTTTAGTGGGTAGTGTAGACATTTGGGTTGATTTGGTTGAAATTGTGTCCATCTTTCTATCTCCACCTGATTGGGAGAGACCCAGGAACCAAAATTCACTTCCAAGTCGTACGATTTCTCTTGTTTGTTAGATAATTATATAATTTTCACCGATTGGCATGGAGTTGATATTTGCGTTGGTGGGTTGTTTAGATATTTGGATTTGAGCAAGTCGAGAGTCCTAAGTTGGCGTTTGATGTGATTTGGTTGAAATTGGGTCCATCTTTTTATCTTCACCTGATTGAAAGAGACCCAGAGACCAAGCTTCCAGAAGGTCCATGGAGTGCCTCTTCGGCCGTGGCTGACCCCAAGGATCTTCCTAGAGGTCATCACATCTGTTTCTCTGTCTCCAATTTCGACTCTTTTGTTCAGACACTTAAGGTATCTCCTTTTTTCTGTCTGATTAGATACACATAAACAAGCACACAGATATACCTGGACAATACTTTTAGGGTGATTTGTTGGTTGTGGTTAAATTCTTTTATGCAGCCATAAGGATGTTAATTTGGGTAAATAGGGTTTTATGATTCATGAGCCTGTTTACTGTATAACTCATCTAGAATCTGTTTTTGAAAGTTGGAAACAAAAAAAAAAAAAAAAAAAGAAAAACCTACATGATGTAATCAATGGGAACTCTTCTTTCTCAAGTTCTAAATTTTCAGGATAGTGTTTTGGTTAAATCTCGAAGTGGTGTCTATGAACTTGATTTTGCAACCATTAGAATAACTAACACTCCAATGTAATTTGGTCAGATATTGTTTTGATTTTCCTAGGGTTACTGTTTTGGGTAGAGGTGGTGGGAATTTTTTATTTTTGTTTTGGGGGGTACGGGTGAACTGATGGGGGAACCTTTTTGAAAAATACTTTTAAGTGGAGAGACATTTCCTGTGATGGTGATTTTCTTATGGTAATTAATTTATCAACTGTTTCCAGAATTCACTGATATATATGATCAAGCATTTCAGCTTATTTCAACGAAATCTGGTTATGTTGCAGAGAACCTAATGCAGTGCTATGCTATGCAGGAGAAGGGAATTAATGCACATGAGACGACGCAACCAGATGGGAAGACCAAGCAAGTATTCTTTTTTGATCCAGTTGGTGAGCGCTCACATCTCTATTTATTTCTGATTGTATTTTACCAGGGCAAAAATTTTTTTTGGAGGTAATAAAGTGAAGCACTGTTTCATTCTTTATGTGCCTGTTGGAAGCTTCTTTTATACCAGTACCTTCATATACAATTAATATTCAATGTTTCTAGTTTTAATTTTAATGGCATTTTCCCTGAACAAGTCACTAATTAAGTTGTGGTTTTGCAAAATGTCACCCAAAGCAATGCTGTCATGTGCAGGTAATGGATTAGAGGTTGCTGGCAGTGCTTCGGAACAGTGAAGCAGTAAATCAGGTGGTCTTCTATAAACAAGGGTGGATAATTACCTTTAATTAAATGGTGTATTAAGCAAGGGAAGATAATTACCTGTAGTTAAATGGTATTAAGCGAGATTGAATAATTACCTATATATAGTTAGAAAGTGTATAACAACCACCTAGAGACTTATGAGATGGGAATGCTATGCAAACATTTTCATGGTAACAGCTATATGTGTTTTTTCTGCATTTATGTTGTTCTTCAATGAGTGGTGTTATATGGTTGTGTTTAGAAAATTGGAATTTAGATTCTTTGAATTTTTGGTTGTGTTCTGAGATTTTTAACTTAACAAGTTGAACTATAGGTTATACTTGCTAATGGTTCTAAAAGATAGGTTGTCTCTCAACTCATGATGGCAGGGTGTGAAGTGGCTTCTAAGTTTGGGTTTTTATCCCATGGCACGTGCTCTGCAATGAGATGGGGCAGAGGTTGAGTGTTCGGCTTGGAGTCCAGCCCTTGACATTGTACGGGTAATGGTGAGGTCAAGTTTATTGCATTTGCAATGGTGATATATGTTTTTCATGTAAAATTTCATGCGTCACACACTAGTTATAGTATTCCTATTTACTAGCTTGGAGAATTCAAGTTTTAAGAACTCAATGCCAAGGGTGGTTGAAGTGCAGTGAGTGCAACAGAACGGAGCAAAAATTGGTAAAAATAGTTTGTTTGAGGGAAGAATAGGTTTTTTTTTGGGGTTGGGGGGGTTTGATAAGGGCAACTTGGGGATTTTTTTATGCACAAGGGTATATTAGGTATTTTCAATGTACAAGTATTAGGGTTTGGGTGTCGGTATATATATGATCCTATTATAATTATGATATAGTACAAAATAATGATCAAATTTTTACCAAATTATATAAATTGAAATATTATCTATTTAAAGTAATTTTCTTTTCTCGTTAATTATTGACTATTTTTGGGTCTCTTAAAAAGTGGTATTAAAATCGATAGCTGACGATCCTAGATGAACTCTTGAAGAAGTGATATAGCGTGTGACATCAATGATGACTCTTAAGAAAAGTAATGAGCTCAGGCCTAGAAAAAGAGCAGAGGGTGGGCAAGAGCGCAAGACTCTTGGTAGAGTGATAATATGGTGACTCATAAAGAGCGGTAAAAAACTTGATTCTTGAAGAGAGTGGTGGACTAGAATCAAGGGGAAGTTAAGCTCAATGTGGTTTACACATGAGAAGGAGATTGTTAGATATTACATTTGTGATAATTTTACATCGGATAGAAAAATAAACTAAAGTGTCATAATATACTATTGATGAGCTCATCACCTTTATGATTAAGCTTAGGTGGGTATAGGTTCTAGACATGTATATTGGATCTTACATCGTTGAGCTCCCTAGTCTCCCAAAACTGGTATTAGAGTTGATAACCGGCGATCCTGGATGAACTCTCGAAGAAGCGGTGTAGTGTGTTGGTATGAGTGGTAATGTGGTTACTAATGAAGAGTAATAAAAACTTGGTACTTGATTTTTGGAAAAGCAGACTCTTGTGAAGAGTGGTTGGATGAGGTGCTCATAGAGAGTGGTGGATTAAACTCAAAGGGGAGCTACACCCGATGTGGTTCACGAATGGAGAGATTGTTGGGTCTTACATGTGTGAGAAATTCACATCAGATAGAAAAATAAATTAAAGTGTCCTAATAAATTATTGATGAGTTCATCACCTATATATGATTAAGCTTTAGGTGGGTATGAGTTATAGACAACATATTGGGTCTTGAATCATTAGGCTCACCAGTTCCCCAACAAATGGTATCAGAGTCGAAGGTTGATGATCCTTGATAAACTCTCTCAAAAGTGATATAGTATGCCGGTATTGATGATGACTTTTAAGAAAAGAGATGAATTCTAAGTATTAAAGTCATGGAAGTGCAACTCGAAAAAAAAGTAATGTGCAAGTCTAGGCGCAATGGCTCTTAGATAGTGGTAATGCAATGAAGAAAAAATAAGTAAGAGTATCTTAATATACAATGTATGAGCTTACCATGTAACGACTTAAACTTTTAAGTGGGTATGAGTTTCAGACATTTATATTGAGTCTTAAATCATTAGACTCTACTTGTCTCCCAACAACTGCACTCTAAATACCAAATTATATATTATTGGTTAGTTCTATAATTGGTGTAAACCCAACATTGGAGCAGAGACTCAAAAATGTACTGAACCCTCAACACATTTGAAAAAAAGGCCAGCACAAGAAGTCCCTCGTGACTATGATGACTGATGCGTTAACCTCAGAGCTTGGGTAGCCAGAACAATTGTTCTCTTCCACAGCTGCATACAGAGATACCCCACCATGCATTGTTACATATTATACATGTAGGAAAATTCTACGAAAAAATTGTTATACATCTACATGCATTGTTATATTTTTTTTTATACTATACCGTTGATTACTATTTTTTATGATAAAGTTATAACTTTAACATGGAAGTTACAATTACTAAAAGGAAGGTCACGATCGATCACAAACACCTATGATTGATTATGAACTCTTGATATCGATCTTAACTTTCTATAATCGATTATGCCCTTTAAAAGTTATAACTTCACCTCAAAAAATTGTAATTTAGCTTTAAAAAATTACAATTTTTGGTACGGTACCACCAATGGTACCATAGCCTTTCCCCAACATGTAATGCGACATATGCTAGAATTCTAGCTGGCAACTTGAGAATGTACCTTGGACTATTTGGTCCAAGGGTATTAAGGTGGACAGGATAGTGTTGATAGAGTTCCACGTAAATCGAATCGAGTTGGACATCATACTTTTCGGTAACACAAGAAACATGAACGAATGAACTCGGAATAACACAATTGTTTAAACCTAGACAAGCAATTGGATGAAGAGAAAACAATTTTTCAAATACGAAGCTGGGCTCAAGAGATTATCGGTTATTTATAATAGCGAAACCCTAATAAAACTAGGAAACAAAAATAGCCTAGAAAGTCAACAAGAAAAAAAGCTGATAAATGATAAGAGTCATTTGAAACAACATCGCGTTTGTCAAATGTGTAAGTTCTCTTCACGATTCGACTCTTTTCCTTATCCCGACCTCTCACTTTGTTTCGTTCTTTTTTTGTACCGTAATTGTTTATTAAAAACTCATTTCATTTCAAACTTAATTTACTTGAGTTCTGAGGTGAAAGATATCTTGAAAGATTTTGAAATTAACACGATTAATAAATACGTATAATAAATGAATTAAATTAATATTTGGCACTTATAACACATTAGATAATTTTTTTTTCTCTTGGGTATTGACACGAATTGACACCCTTATCAAAATGAAAATTATTTAGATAGTCGGTATAAAGAGAATGTTAAAGATGACTTGAAACTTTGGAGCTGCCTGCCCCGATTGCGGGTGTCAAGTTAACCCATTAGGATGAATAAGACACAAATGTGACACGACACAATTTTAAAATTAATATGATTGATAAATATATATAATAAAAATTGGATTAACGTTTCATACCTACATCACAGTAAATAATTTTTTTTCTCGTGGGTATTAACATGAACACACACGAATTATAATGACACTACCTGAAAATAATGGTATGAAAATAACCCAAATTGACACCCGTACTACCAATATTCTCTTAAAGTAGGTATTTGTTGGAAAGTAAACTTTCTTTAAGGAGTTATTTCAATATTAAGTGATTTTTGGTGTATTAAATTCTTCAAGTCCTAGTAATGGAAAAAGTGAAGTCTTAATATTCTAGTGGTTATAAGAATTGGTGGATGTAGTAGTACTTTGTTAATCTAAGTTTAAGAGTTATTGCTTTTTTTTTTTTAATCAAGTAAGAGTTACTGTTGAAATCTATATATAGAAATACTATATAAGATGCAATTTCAGACGTACACGTAAGAGTTCTAAAAAGAGTCTAGTTTGAGTGTCATTGAAAACGCTTTGAATGAAAATTGTGCACGGTGATTTTCGCACAATAAAAGAAAAGGACAGATCTCTCATGTTATGAACATGAGGTTTACCTGTTAGTCAAGGATCTCGAGACAAAAGGGAGTAATGAAGGCTCCTAAGGAGTGGTGATGTGTTGTCTTTCTAGCTATCCACGTGATTTCGGCGAGTTAGGAAGCAATCTGCCACTCAGAAAAGAGAACAGAGAGTTAGAAGGGCGTCGGAGTATTTTTTGGCGTAACCCCTCCGATGGTCAAGTCAGTGCTTGCGAGAAAGGGGAGAAAACAATGTTGTATCATTGAGAATATGATTTTCGTACCCTTGCTTTCGATTTTTTGTGACTATTTATACTTTCATGGAGGTCATCATTGCTGACAGGTGGGTCTCCCTAGGGAGAGGCCCCCATTGGCTCATCTGGGAGGCAACAGGTGGGGGTAAACAATTTTGGGACAGAGTGCCTCTTGTCCCCCGGGAGAGGTCAATCAGCATTAAATGCTCGGACCCCCGAGCACTTAATGCCCTTCCACCAAGGCTCTCTAGACGATAAACACGTCTCATCCTCCTGAAGGATCATTGAATGCTCTTCTGTAATGGTTGTGCGTCAGCGGGGGCATTCTTGTCCATTGGCCCCCAACTTTGTACTCTGCGCCACGCGTCCACTTCCCATTGATCACTGGTCATGTCTTTCTTGCCATTGTGACTTCTTTGAGAAAGCAAGTTTAATGATTCACTGTCTAACTCTTACTTTGATGGGCTGCAACCGTCAATAATTCGCCATGTGGTCGAGGTGACGTGTCTAAAATCAGACCTCGGGGTCTAATAACGTCGAGGACACGTGTCAAAGTCTCAGTGCTTCGGGTGTTCATACTCCAAGGACACGTGTCAAGCGTATATAGGCAGAGGATGTCAGTGCCGATGACACGTGTCATTCTTTGATTGGTGGAGGTGTCCTCGGTGCCGATGACACATGTCTTCATTACATTGTTTGATGGATTTTTGATGCCAAGGTCATGTGTCAAATTCTTGTTC